CTTTACGTTCCGGAACGCGGTGGCCTGACAGGGACCCCACACCCAAGGGGCTTGTTTGTCCAACAAGCGGTGGAGGGGTTCTGCTACCGCCGCCTTGTGGGGGAGGAAGGCGTGGTAAAAGTTCAGGATACCGAGGAATGCCTGCAATTCCGCTTTGGACTTCGGCGGCGGCGCTTCCACAGTCGCCTTTACTTTCTCGCGGGTTGGGTGGAGGCCCTCAGCGTCCACCGTGAATCCCAAAAAGTTCACCTTCAGCCCAGTGTCCTGGAAACGGCTGAGCACGGAGCGAAGGCGGGCGGCGAAATCAGTGGGCGTGGCGGCGGCGATCCACACATCGTCGAAGAAGGGGGTGATGCCGGGAATCCTTTTAAGGAGGGAGTCCATGAGTTGTTGGAACAGGCCGGGTGCCACGCTCACTCTGAAGCTCAGTCGCTTCACACGGAATGCCCCCCGGTGTGTGACTATGGTTTGCGCTTCCGCAGTTGCCTCGTCTACGGGCAACTGTTGGTAAGCCTGGGCGAGGTCCAGTTTACCAAAAATCTTAGCCCCGCCCAAGATGGCCAGAACATGGCTGACTACAGGGACCGGGTACGCGTGGTCCTGTAGCGCCTTGTTCAACTTGCATTTATAGTCCGCGCAGATGCGGACTGCCCCATTTGGTTTCTTAACCACGACTATGGGAGTCTCCCACGCCGCGTGGGAGACTGGCTCCAGGATGCCTTGTGCTACTAGGCGGTCCAGTTCCTCGTCGATCTTAGGCTTAACCGACAACGGAACCGTCCTGGCTCGCATTCTTATCGGGGCCACCGAGGGATCTAAGCGCAAGGTCACCGGGGGGGCCCGTATATCTGCCCAGAGAGTCATTGAAAACGGCGGGGAACTCGCAGCAAATCTCTTTGAAGTCCTGGGTCATGCACGCCTGTACTCCTTCAACAGTGATGCCCAGGGGTTCAAACCAGGCCCACCCCAGTAAGCTGACGAGGTTGCCCTCGACCACTATTAAATCCAGGTTCCTTTTAAAGTTCTTAAACTGCACCCGGAAGGTTCCGACTCCTCTGACCGGCACCGGGTTGCGCTGGAAGTCCCCAAGCACCAAGAATACAGAGCATCACTTGCCCCAGACTGAGAGTTCTTATCTATACCTTGTGGCTAATAGCCACTGATGGACCTCTGCTCCATATGTTTATCTAATTCCCTCTTGAAGCTGTCCCTCTGCTCCATATGTTTATCTAATTCCCTCTTGAAGCTGTCCATGCTTGTAGCTGCCACCACCTCCTGTGGCAGTGAATTTGTGCGGGGGGGCTCCCGGCTCCGAGTCTGGATCTTCCAGCGTGCATGCAAAGCGTGCATGCTGCATGATGACGTTACCCACTTCCAGGTTACATCATCATGCTGATGCTGCAGAAGGGAGCTGTTCAGGGGTGGGGCTTCCCCTGCTGGCCAACTGGCCACCAGGAGATTGGAGCCCCCAAAATCGGGGGAACCCCTGCCCCAACCAGGGGTCCGGCAACCCTATGTGGCTTAGTGGTAGAGCATCTGCTTGGCATGCAGAAAGTCCCAGGTTCACTCTCCAGCATCTCCATTTAAAAGGACCAGGCAGTAGGGGATGTGAAAGACCGCTGCCTGAGACCTTGGAGAAGCACAGCCAGTCTGAAGAGACAATACTGACTTCAATGGACCAGATTCAGTATAAGGCAGCTTCATGTGTTCATGAGGACAAGAACCTCAGTGGGATACAATGCCACAGAGTTCACCCTCCAAAGCATCCATTTTTTCCCGGGGAACAGATCTCTGTAGTCTGGAGATGAGCTGTAATTCCAGGGGATCCCCAGGTCTCACCTGGAGGCTGGCATCCTTCATCGTGAGAGGTGGGAAATAAACACATCATTTTCCAATCTGTTTCGACACAAGCGGCTATAGATGACACTCACGCCAAAGCAAGAACCTCTCCGAAGGACGGTTGGGGACGCTTCCACAAAGGCGCTGCTCCCATCCTCGTCATCGGTGACCGCAACCATGCCAGCAAAGATGAAGTAGAAACTGCCCCCGAGGTGCCCCTTTTTGATAATCACTCTCCTGCGTCCAAATCTGAAAGGCAGGAACACAGATACCCACTCGAGTGAGCAGTAATTAGAACGAAGTGGGAGGCCTCAGCCAGGGTTTTGCCGAGGGTGGCCCGCTCCAGGTCTGGAAATTTCTGGAAATTTAGGGGGTGGAGCCTGGGGAGGGCGGAGAGAGACCTCAAAGGTGTATGATGTCTTAGAATCCACCCTCCAGAGCGGCCATTTTCTCCAGGAGAACTGAGCTGTATAGTCTGAAGATCAGTTGTAATTCCGGGAGATCTCCAGGCCCCGCCTTGAGGCTGACAAGACTAGGTGAAGGGTTGCCCACGTTGGGTTTGGAAATTCCTGGAATTTAGGTGAGGGAGCCTGGGGATAATGGAGTTTAGGGAGAAGAGGGGCTTCAGCGGGGTATAACATGGGATGCCAGCCTCCAGGTGGGACCTGGCGACCCCCCGGAATCCCAGCTCATCTCTGGACTGTAGAGACAAAGGTTCCTCTGGATAAAATCGATGCTTTGGAGGGTGGAATCTATGGCCCAACCTGCATCTACCATTTGCTCCGCTGTTTTACCAAACCCACACTGGTACCACGCCCATAGCTACAGTGGGGCATCTCAGGGCCTGGCCCCCTGACTTACTGCCAAGGCCCCCTGACTTCCCATCCAGCCCAGGCACTCCCTTGGGGGGGGATGTAGGGGTGTGTGCGGAATGCCCCCTGACTTATTTAAAGCCCCCCCCCCCGAATTTTAAAAAACCCTGGCTACGGGCCTGACTGGAACAGAAAAAGATGCGGCTCAATACCCTGGGCCAACGCCTGACTGCAGAGTCACCTCTGTACATCACCCCTGAATGGCCATAAAATGGCCCTAAATATATGCCGATGGCTACCATAAAACCGAGAGATCAAAGGAAGTGAGAGCGGCATGCAGTCTGGAGGCTACCATAGAATCTGACAACAGATCAAAGTGAAAGTGGCATGCAATAGGGAGGGGAAATTCTGCTCCAGCCTGGGTTAGGTAAGACAGCGGAGCAAATGCTAGATGCAGATTGGGCCTATGAAACTGTGCCCCACTGGGGTCCCCATCCTCCCCAGGCTCCACCCCCAAATCTCCAGGAGTTTCCCAACCTGGATCCGGCAACCCGAACCCCCCCCCCGATTCCCTGCCGGTGGCCAGGGAGGAACTGGCAACCCTAATAGCGCCACAGAGTCCACCCTCCAGGGGAACTGATCTGTGTGGTCTGGAGAACGCTTGTAATCATGGAGGATCTCCAGGCTCCCCCTGGAGGCTGGTACTGTGGAGGTATTTAGTTAAATGAATACATTTTACAGAAGTGTCATTTGCTTTGTTTGTATGTAAAGGGGGAAAGTACAGAGCGGGTTCCCGCACCATACAGTGTGCCTTACCACTAGGCTTACAACAACAACAACAACAACAATACAGTCCACAGTAAACAATGACCAAAAAACAGCAAATAACAACTGTGTACTGCAAAAAAGTTTACAAAAGTTTACAAAAAGAGACTTCAACACAAAAGTAATTCAACACATGTAATCCATCATAGGAAAATACAAAAGTCCACAATATCCCAAAGGGAAAGAACAAAGTCCAGAATAGAAATTTCTCAAAGGGAAACAATGAGGTCTGGAATAAATATCAACACTTTTCCTAGGTATTGTTCAGTGTTTCGGACTTCTGGTCCTTCCTCAGGAACAAAAAGCCATTACAGGAAGTCTCATTGCAATTTCTTAACAGGCAAACATTATTCAGTTTCTATATGGGCCAGGTCTCCTAAGCTTTAGAAATCACATATCAAGGTTGCTATTATGTAAGTTGGACCAAACATGCCTCTAGGCTTGCCAGCTCGGGGTTGGGAAATACCTGGAGATTTTGGGGGTGGAAAGGGCAGGGTTTGGGGCGGGAGGGACCTCAGCAGGTTTTAATGCCATACAGTGCCTCCAAAGCAGCCATTTTCTCCAGGCGAACTGATTTTGGTCACCTGGAGGTTGGCAAGCCTAATTAGAGGGGCAAAATTACAAATTGCTTAAACTTTCTCCCAAATTATGGACGATAAGGGATGGCCACTCCACACTGTTACATATTTTACTTACAATTCTGAAGCATCGCTCCTTATTTTACAATATCCAACACATCTGTGTATCCATAGCTTTGATTTGGCAGTAAGCTCTTAGGCCATGCAGAAACTATGGAATTAGTTTCTCTGTTAATGTACTACAGTGATTCCCATAAGAAGGGCTGAAATCTACACATATTGGATGCTCTACTCTGCATCTTGGATGCTCTGCTCTACATCCCTCAAAGCAGGGAGGGCCCCATGTCCTGTTGATCAGGCGTCGTTTCGTAGAAAAAGAGCTAGGGGAACTCATTAGCATAAATCATTAACATATGCCACACCCCCTGACATCATAAGGCCCGGCGGTGGACCTGCAAGGCCGGCAGGAGTGCGAGGAAGCCCCACCAAGGCCCTCCCTGGCCCCAGGCAGGCAGGGGTGGGGAGAGGCGGGGAGGAAGCAACTTACCCTCCCTCTTCTCCTGCCTCCTCCTGGCTGAATGAGGGCCGGTAGTGGGGCGGCTGGAAGCAGGGGGTGGGGCTTCGTCATGTGCCCCGCCCCCCGCACCTCACCCGGGGGAACTGCGATCCCCTGCGATCCCCCCCGAATCGACCTCTGCTGTTGATTCTGACACGTACACCCACCCGTCCCCCGGACAATGTTTTGCGGTCACACTGACCTCTTGCTGCGCTGTTGTTCCCGCTGTCATTTTATCCGCGACATTTTGTATGTGTAATGATCATCAGGAAGGAAGGAGTGAGGAATGGGATGCCCAGAGATTCCCTGGTACAGCCACGCTATGGCTGAAGGAGGTGGGTCAATACTGATTCTGCACTGGCTTTTCCCTCTGTTGTTTTACCAAACCCACCTTGGAACAGAAACCCCCCTCTGCATTGCATGCCGCTGTCGCTTTCTTTGATCATTGGGTTTTATGGTAGCCTCCAGACTGCAGGCTGCTTTTGCTTTCTTTGATCATCGGGTTTTATGGTACCTTCTGCATAGATTTATGGCCATTCGGGGGTGACTTTGCAGTCAGCACAGTGTTGCCCCGGGGTGTTTGAATGTGGTTTTGAGCTGCACATTTCCCCTCCCAGTTGAGAAAATGTGGAGCGAATGCTAGATGCAGAATCGCCCACTATCATCACCCAGGAAGCACAAGCCAGTTCCTGAGCCCCCAACTTTAATTAACCTGCATTTGTAAGGAGCACCAATTGTTTGAGCCATCATTATTGTTGTCGTCATTCTATTTATTATTCTAGAAGCTCATAGCGAAAAAATGCATTTGCATCTTTTTGAACATCAAGTGAATTTAATCTAGGGGGGAAATTGCATTCAACGCATCAGCTGTCTAGAAAACAACTGGATACAAAAACATTAATTAAACTAGTCTATTCAATGAATTGCCGTGACCTGGATAGCCCAGGCTAGTCCAGTGACCAGTCTGGTCAGATCTCAAAAGCCAAGCAGGGTCGGCCCTGGCTAGTATTTGGATGGGAGACCTCCAAGGAATACCAGGGTCATGATGCAGAGGCAGGCAACAGCAAACCACCTCTGAACGTCTCTTGCCCTGAAAATCCTACGGGGTTGCTAGAAGTCAGCGGTGACTTGACAGCAAAAAAAGAGAAAGAAATCAATGACTACCCAGCTGTCAGGTGTCTAGCTCATTAAAAGGACACATTCTGAATCGCCACGCGGCAATTAGCGTGTCTTTTAAAATGTACCGTTCAAAGCGAACCACTTTAGCCAGAAGATACTGAAGAGTTGGACTGTAGTCGAGGAAACTTTTCAGGGCCAGCAAGCGGTTTCTTAAATATCTTATTTCAGCCTCAGTCCTCCACTCAGGCGGCTTCTTGGTTATCTGGATTGCTTTGAAAGGAAAATGATCCTGAAAAGAAACCAGACAATTCCTACAGTAAATTCTTATGAACTTAGGCAGATCATGAGAGGGAGAGGGCAGGAAGGGCTGCCTCAGTGCTTAGTTCTCGTGGCCCTTTTTTACACGCCCAGGGAAATGCTGGTCACCACTTTGGGGTCAGGAAGCAATTTTTCTCCAGGCCAGTTTGGCCAGGGATCCTGGAGGGTTTTGTTTGTCATCTTCTGGGCATGGAACAGGGGTCACTGAGGCTGTGGAAGGGGAGGTAGTTGTGCATTTCCTGCATTGTGCAGGGGGTTGGACTAGCTGAGGTCCCTTCCAACTCTATGATTCTATGATTCTAAACAACTGTAGTATAGAGATGATATCCCTGCGCTGATGCAACAATGGTAGCGAACACAATGAAATACTGCTAAGAGCTCAGGACGTGCAATATGCAACTTCCTGGAGCTTTGGGGGGGAGCAGAGTCTGGGGAGGAAGTCGTATGGGGAGGGACCTCAGCAGGGCACAGTGCCATAGGGCCCACCCTCCATAGCAACCATTTTCTCCAGGGGAACTGATCTCTTGTCATCTAGGAGTAGGGTTGCCAGCTCTGGGTTGGAAAATACCTGGAGCCTTTAGGGGTGGATCCAGGAGAGGGTGGGGTTTGGGGAAGGGAAAGGCCCTTCAAAGCAGCCATTTTCTCCAGGGGAGCTGATCTCTGTCAGAAGGAGATCAGTCGTAAAAGCAGAAGATCCCGAGGCCCCACCTGGAGGCTGGCAACCCTATCTAGGAATCAGTTGTATTTCCAGGAGACTGACAGGGCCCAGCCTGGAGGTTAAGTACCCTAAATAGAAGACCTACAGGGTGAATCCAATCACTGTGTTAAAAAAAAAGAATACAACCACCACCACCATCTTGAAAGTCAGAAAATTATTGGTTAGATCCGGGGTGTCGAACTCATTTGTTATGAGGGTCAGATCTGACATAAATGAGACCTTGTTGGGCCAGGCCGTGTGTGTCATAAAATGTAATGCCAGGTAGCAGAGATATAAACTTTATAAAGGACACAAACACAAAGGTTTTTTTACTTAAAATAAAAACATGCTTAAAACAATAACTCTGTAAGCTGCAAACCTACTTTTGATTTATTGACATTCACCACAGAAATCTCATGCTCAAAGTTCTGAGTCTAGGACCCAGGTTAAAACATGAAATGGCTGAGTGATTAAGAGAGTCTGGCGAAGCAAGCTATGGTGTAGCAGCAGCAGCAGCAGAACTAGAAGCAGGAGATGGCCCACTGCAGGCCTAATGGAAGCCCTCCGGGGGCCTCATTCAGCCCCCGGGCCGCATGTTTGACACCCCTGTGTTAGATTGTCAAACTAGGATCTGGGAGAGCTGGGTTTAAACCCTCTGTAATGATTCCTTGCTTTAGTGAGTGTGTGTCTTTAAATGTTTGGTTTGAGTGCAGTGCTGGAAGGAGAGTGATAGAGGGAGACAAGTGTGCTGAGAGTGTGGAAGGAGTTGTTCTGAGTGAATCCTTGTGTGTCTTGAGGGAATTCAGTGAGTGATATGACAGAGTTCTGTGTGGAAACTTAAAGAGTTCTGTGTATGTGTCCTTGGAACGTGAAGAGTGGAAGAGCTATGAGGAGAGTCTGTGTGACTATAAAGTTTTGAGAGTCCATAAGACAAAGAGCTTAGCCAGTGTGGCTGCCCACATGAAAGAATGGTGTGGAATTTTAGTGTCAGAAGGACTGTGTGTGATACTGACCATGTTATATTTACAAGTTCTTTATTCCCAAAACAGTTAAAGATAACCAGCAACTTATTTTTGTTCTTTAATCAATAAATCAAATTTTGTTTAAGTAAATCCCAGATTTCAGTTAAATCCTTCCTCAGGGCCACATAAACCTCTGAAATGCCCAGACCCTAGGTCACATTACCAGCAGCAGACACAATAGAGTTTCAGGAGACAACTAGTCTACCCTTGGAGAAAGAAGGGAAAGATGAACTAGAGGGCGAGATTACAGTTAAGGAAATAAGAGACGTAATAAAAGAATTTTAAAAAGGCAAATCGCCAGGGCTAGATGGTTTTACAGGCGAATTCTACAAAGAAATGATAGAGATTATAAAACCCGAATTGCAGGTAGTATTTAATGAAGTTTTGAAAGGGAAGAAGGTCCCTGATACATGGAGAGAAACAGAAATAATATTGATTCTAAAACCTCAGAAGGATCCAGAAGAAGTAGGTTCGTACAGACCTATAAGCCTCCTAAACCAAGACTACAAGATCTTTGCCAAAATACTGGCAAATAGACTAAAGAAAGTAATTCCGACAATCATAAAAGGGGATCAATATGGGTTCATTAAAGGTAGAAATATAGCACACCCCATTAGAAACATCCTGTCTTATACCATGGCCAACAAAAGAAAATAGGACTATTAAAATTGGATGTGTATAAAGCCTTTGACACTCTTTCACTCTTTCAAATGAATATTTATGGCAAATAATGAAGAAAATAGGGATAGGGAAAGGGTTCTTTCAGGCAATTCAGAAGATATATAAAGGAGGGAATGCGAAAGTAAGAGTAAACAATGAACACTCACAAGCATTTCCCATACAAGGAGGAGTAAGACAAGGATGCCCACTATCTCCACTTATATTCATAATAGCAATAGAACAATTAGCGGAACGGATTAGAAATTTATTTTTAAAAAAACATTACCAGCAGCAGAGAGAGATTTTTGGAATTTTGAATTCCTGGTGGCAGCAGAAACTACCCAGTTTATATACAAAGAGTAATTTTAAAGTAAAAACAGACACACACACACCAAATAAACAGCATGCCACACCCTCGCTCTGCCCTGGAAGTTCAGTGGGTGAACTCGGGCCAATCACACTCTCTCAGCCTCACTTACCTCACAGAGTAGTTGTGAGGATAAAATGTAGGTAAAGAGAAGAATGGAAACCACTTTGATACCACACTGAGGAGAAAGGCAGGTTATAAATGAAGCAAATTAAAAAATAAGTATTTTGCTTCAGATTGTGATGTTCAAGTTCCCCCCAACGACCCTCAGAGCAGCTCAAGAATGCCCCCCCCCCCGGGAGCTGGGGGGGCTCTCCTTTGCTGGAAGTTTTCACATTGAGGCTAGGCATCCATCTGTTGGGGATGCATTATATTAAGTGTATTGATTGGGGGTTGGATTATAAGACCTCCTCCAACTCTTGACTGAGTGGCTCTACTGTTTTTTAATTCTCACATGCGTTATTTATTCTCTTGAACACAGGGAGAAAAGCATTAGTGTACGAAGGATAATATGGACAGGGATCGTATTCGTTTCCATATACAGGGGGGGTTTTCTATGAGAACGATCTATCTTAAAGGTCGGCTCTCACATGACCTCAACATGAAGTCTACATATTTGGTAAGGTGGACCTTCCTAGGAGGGAAGGCGGCATGGTATATAGCCCGATCTCATCAGATCTCAAAAGCTGAGCCGGGTTGATATTTGGAAGGGAGGGCGCCAAGGAAGACTGCCGAAACAGAAGAACGCAATGGCCAACCACCTCTTGCTTTTCACTTGCTTTGAAAGCCCCTTGCTGAGGTCGTCATAAGTCGGCTGAGATCTGACAGGACTTTACACAAACAACATGAGCCTTAGGTGCATGGGCCCATGATACAAACAAACAAACAAACAAACAACCCCCCCAAAAAAACCATTCCCCCAACCCCCCCACAAAATCATGCATGTGATCTGTCCACCTTTTTATCATAGTGGGGACATTGAGCTGATTTGTACTCCATTTGGAAGATTTCATGCCTGTGCTGAATACCAAGCTGTTGGGAGTATCAGCTCCATGGGGGCAGACTTGAAAATGCAAATTGTCAAGAAAGAACCGGTGTTCAATGAAGCAGTGTCAGCCCTGCTCTGACAAATCGTGGAGGTTTTTTGGACAAGCCTTGAGGCATGTGGAGTTGGGAGGGCTGATATAATTTCTACTGTGCCCTTCTAGGAATTCTACCGATCTCTATGGTCTTCATCATAGACACTGGGGAAATTCCTAGAGTGTCACTTGGAATAAGTTACTTCCAGGTGGGGTAGGGGGTACTAGTTGCTGGCTGTTACATCACTTTGAGGTAAGGTTGATGTGTCCCCCTGGGCCACCAGCAGGGGATGAGGGGTAGGGTTACCAGATCCAGGTGGGGAAACTCCTGGAGATTTGGGGATGGAGCCTGGGGAGGACAGGGACCTCCGTGGGGTACAATGCCACAGAATCCACCCTCCAGAACATCCATTTTCTGCAAGGGAACTTATCTCTATAGTCTAGAGATGAGCTGTAATTCTGTGGAATCCTCAGGTCCCACCTGTAGGCTGGCGTCCCTACTTCGATCAGAGGAAACTAAAATGTTATTGACGGGAATGACAGTCTCTGTTGCCAAGTTTTTGTTTTCTGCTATGAAAATACCAGCTGAATGAATGTCCCATGTGTAAATGTTATGTTTTTAAAATTTTAATTTGTGGTTATGGAACTGGAAGAATATTGTAACTGGGATTTTGTGGGTTATTAATAATTGATTGTTTTTTGTTTGTATGGCTTGTAGGCTGTAATAAAGACTACTACTACTACTACTACTACTACTACTACTACTACTACTACTACTACTACTTCTTTGAGGTTATGCTCTACAAATTTCCTCAATCTCTACAGGTAAAGGCCATAGGGAACATATGGTAAGGACCAGAGAGATTAGGGAAGATTCCCAGAAAGTCATCACTGATTACATTGTCTTCTATCTCAATTTTTCTGCCAACAAGGAAGAAGAAGAGTTGGTTTTATACCCTGCCCTTCACTACCTGAAGAAGTCTTGGAGCAGCTTACAACCTTCCCTTCCTTTCCCCACAACAGGCACCTTGTGAGGCAGGTGGGGCTAAGAGAGTCCTGAGAGAACAGTGACTGGCCCGAGGTCACCCAACAGGCCTCATGTGTTTCAATGCGACTTACGATCCCCTTCCCTTCATCTCCCCACAACAGGCACCTTGTGAGGAAGGTGAGGCTGAGAAAGTCCTGAGAGAACTTTGACTGGCCCAAGGTCACCCAGCAGGCCTCATTTGTCTCATAGCAGCTCACAATCACCTTCCCTTCCTCTCCCTACAACAGGCACCCTGTGAGGTAGGTGGGGCTGAGAGAACTCTGAGAGAACAGAGCCTGGCCCAAGGTCACCCAGCCGGTGTCATGTGGAAGAGTGGGAAATCAAACCTGGTTCTCCAGATTAGAGTCCTGCAACTCTTAACCACTACACCAGACTGGCTTTGGGTGAGGGAATGAAGGTGAGGGAATGAGGGTGGGAAATGGCCTGTGGCCACTAGGCAAATGGCCACCCTCGTCACATGACTCATGCTTACATTCAGCAGTAATAAACCATGCCAAAGGCTATGTTGAACCACAGAGTAATAACCTCCCTGGTATCCCTCACTATAGATGAAATACAACACGAGACAACTTGTCCAGACCTTTGAGACGGTGAACTCATGGAAGTCAAATGCAACGTTGTAATACCTCCTGTCCTAAAAATTAAAGAGAATTAGCCATTAGAAATTCTACCAAAAGCCAATACTCTGAAGTCCTTATTTATTATTAATTGTTTAAATACTTTTATTACACAGATTGACTTTAATTTCTTTAAAAAGTCCTTGCTCGTGTATTGAGTCATAGCCTTTCGTAGGCCAGAGTCAATTTCATGAGATGCTTGAAGTTTGTTGTCCAGATACTGAGTTGGATCATAACCCTATCCTACCACTCCTCTGAATAACATTTATGCATTTATTTAAAATGTTTATGCCCTACTTTTCCTTTTGGCTCAAGTCTGAGGCCTTCCTCCAGTCTCCAACTTAAGGGGCTTGTTGGATCCCACCCAGCCAGCCCAATATGCTAGAGTCAGACTACATTTCCCAGTAGCAGAATGGAACTATTCTGTGTCCGTCCCATCCCCCGCCTTTCTACTGCAGTCTACAGAACTCCACGAAATGCTGATTCTGGGAAACAGGTGATCATATGTAATGACATAAGTGTGGTCTGCAGCAGGAAGTGGTAATCAGTGAAAATTGTCAATTTAGTCTGGACCCAACCTAATAAATAGGCATGCAAATTGTCTTAATTGTAATTTTAATCTTAATAAGCTATATTTGGTTATTTTATACTGGTTTTTAAACTACTGTAAGCCGCCCTGAGCCGCCTCGGCGGGAGGGTGGGGTAAAAGTCTAATAAATAAATAAATAAATAAATAAGAACATCAGAAGAGCCCTGCGGGATCAGACCAGTAGTCCATCTAGTCCAGCATCCTGTCTCACACAGTGGCCAACCAGTTCCTCTGGAGGGCCAACAACAGGGCATAGAGGCCAAAGCCATTTTAAGAACATAAGAAGAACCCTGCTGGATCAGACCAGTGGTCCATCTAGTCCTGCATCCTGTCTCACAGTGGTTAACCAGTTCCTCTGGAGGGCCAACAACAGGGCATAGAGGCCAAAGCCATTTTAAGAACATAAGAAGAACCCTGCTGGATCAGACCAGTGGTCCATCTAGTCCTGCATCCTGTCTCACAGTGGTTAACCAGTTCCTCTGGAGGGCCAACAACAGGGCATAGAGGCCAAAGCCATTTTAAGAACATAAGAAGAACCCTGCTGGATCAGACCAGTGGTCCATCTAGTCCTGCATCCTGTCTCACAGTGGTTAACCAGTTCCTCTGGAGGGCCAACAACAGGGCATAGAGGCCAAAGCCATTTTAAGAACATAAGAAGAACCCTGCTGGATCAGACCAGTGGTCCATCTAGTCCAGTATCCTGTCTCACACAGGGGCCAACCAGTTCCTCTGGAGGGCCAACAACAGGGCACAGAGGCCGAGGTCTTCCTAAGAACATAAGAAGAGCCCTGCTGGATCAGACCAGTGGTCCATCTAGTCCAGTATCCTGTCTCACACAGGGGCCAACCAGTTCCTCTGGAGGGCCAACAACAGGGCACAGAGGCCGAGGTCTTCTTAAGAACATAAGAAGAGCCCTGCTGGATCAGACCAGTGGTCCATCTAGTCCAGTATCCTGTCTCACACAGTGGCCAACCAGTTCGTCTGGAGGGTCAACAAAAGGGCACAAAGGCCGAGGCATTCCCCTGATGTTGCCTCCTGGCTCTGGGATTCAGAGGCTTATGTGGAGGTTCCCCCCGGTCAGCATGGATAGTAGGCACTGACAGACCTATCCACCATGAATCTATCTAATCCCCTTTGAAAGCTGGAATTCCTGTGGCCATCAATAAATCCTCTGGCAGCAAATTCCACATTTTAATCACTCTCTGTGTAAAGATAAAAACAGACCCATGCTGAGACAGGGTTGCCAACTTTGACTGGGGAATTCTTGGAGATTTGGAGGGCGGAACTTGCAGATGGTGACGTTTTAGGAGGGGAGGGTGTTCGGCAGTAATGTGTTCTCTATGACACATCATCAAATCTGCCCTCCGAAGCAGACATTTCCTCCAGGGGAACTGATCTCTGTAGCCTGGACACTAGCAGAGGCTTTTATTCTAGGTTCTTCCTTGTACCCCCCAAAAGATGGGGTCCTTAGGCCCATTTCAGATCTCAGGGCAATTAATCTCTTCCTAGTTGCTGAAAAGTGTAATATGTTGACGTTTTCTGCTGTGTTACCGTTTTTGAAATTAACACCTTTTTTTTTATTTAGAACTCCAGGCCCCACCTGGAGATTGAGAACTCTAGATCTGAGATGGGGGAAACATGATGAGTAAGAAAAGGCTTAGAGGCACTTCAGAAACACAAAATTGCACAGTAACGTGCGAGAGAGAATATAGTACTCCTCCCCCTCCGGACCTTCCTTATCATTTTTATGTATTTGATTTCTACCCTGCCCTCCCCGCTGGGGCATGCTCAGGGCAGCCAATGAAGAAAACGATAGTTGAAACAACAATATAAAATCAATATCGAATACACAATAAAATTATTAAAAACCATTACCATAAGGATGGCGTTATGGCTGTGGTAAAGTGCAGATACAACGGTATCATCTACCACAAAGTTTCAGGGCCAGGTGTACATCCCTGTATGCATATACAGAGAGAGATGGGGAGGGGGAGAGGGGGAGAGAGAGAGGAAAAGAGAGAGAGAAGAGAGGGGGGGAAGAGAGGGAGAGGGAGCAGGAGAGAGGGAGGGAGGGAGAGGGGGGGGAGAGGGAGAGAGATCCTCCAGGTCATATCATGGAAGAGTGGTCTTTATATCTGTACGATCATTTTTGAAGATTGCGTGAATCTGCTGGTTTATGTCCTAAAGTCTCGGGCAACCATCCCTACTTTATGAACGACAGAAAGCATAGTAATTAAAGCAACAAACAACAACTTAAAGTTCATTCTTGTAAAATTCCTTACTTCTTCAATGTCTGCGGTAAGTTCTTGCTCTATGAGATGAAAGCCCGAGAATCCCTTCAGCCCATCCCGGAAAAATCTGCATACTCTCATCCTCAGAATGAGTTGCCACATGAGTTTCTGCATAGTCTTCGGAAGAACACAGCACAAACAGAACATCATAGGGGGTCAGTGCGACTGGAAGAAGTTCTACCCGTCTGGGACACACACACACGCACACGCACACAGAGAGACCCAGTTGTATACTCAGAGCCCAGAAACAGCACTGACTTCTAACTGCTTAAAACCATACATGATGAACAGCACTAACTTCTTCAGCACATCAAGAATTTAGCCTTGGCCTGCTTTATGGCTATTGGATGACGTTCTTTGCGTCTTTCTTATTCTTGTATTCAAGTAGCACAAAAAGTCACGAATCCACAGACAGGCTTGCTCAAACACCTGTCTGTGGGATTGTGAGTTTTCGGGCCACTTGAATTGAATTGACTTTTCGTAATTATATCACGATTCTTATTGTTGTTGTTTTCATTTACCAATCCCGTGATCTCTCTGGCTACTTTTTTCTTCTTTTTCTGATTAACATTTTATTGGTAGGATTAAAACAATAAAACAAATATAACAATAAAAATATACATAAAGGTCATAAGAACAGTTATACATTCAAACCAACACACTAATTACAAAAAAAGTAAGCTTTAAAGAATGATACATTCTTCAATAAATCTTTGAACGAAGTAACTTATTTTAGCCTCAATTTGTAATTGATGCCTGTACTGTTTGTTGCTTTAGATACAACCAAGTGACTTCTGCCCTCAAGAATATCTGTAGACATTCAATGATATATCTAAGAGACTGGCAACCCTATGATTTTACATGGTTATGAAACCCAGCAGGTGGAGGGCTTGAGGGCAACGGGGAGGGCGAGTTAAAAACAGCTAGGAAGGGAAGGTTATGGACACCCACTCAAGTTGCCAATCCGTATTTTTCATCCATGAAGCTTCTTTTCCTTGTGAAAAAAGAAGGAAGCTTCGGTTGGTACTTTGATGTGAGGTGTACTTTTGCTCCCTCGTTGATCGCTTTTGATTTATTTCTTCAGTCTAGCTTTCATCCTGCTCTGGAAGACCACCCTCAATCATACCTCTAATGATTATCATTCTGTTAAATAATCTTTCCAGTATAATCTGCATTGTGTCGTTACACCAAAGATATGAATTTGAAACCCTATGAGAACAGCTACTTCTGTGCAGGGTGGAGAGCAGGGAACATCTTCTCTGCTACGAATGTCTGCCCTTGACGTTGCTCTTATTAAGAAGGAAAAAACTGAGACGACATACCTTAGTTCCTTGGGGTTGGTAAACATGCTTAGTTCGTTTATATCCTATAAAACAAAATTAGATACATGCATTCAAGTTGTTTTAAAAATCTACGTGTAGCACACTGTCTAAATGCAGAGGAATGGCTATGCCTTTCCAGCTATATTTCCAAAGAGGAGGCCTTACCTGGATCATATACCCCATTCAGAGATTGTATGTTCACTTCAAAACAACTCCAACATAAATACAGGTAACCAAATACATTATTGCATTATATGAAATGATTTATATAATAGAGAAGAAGTGTGCTTGCATACAAAAGCTTATACCTTGAATAAAGTTCGTTGGTCTTAAAAGGGGCCACTGGACTCAAACCTTGTTCTAATACTTCTCAGTTATCCCAGCGCCTTTGCAATCATGGATCGGGAAGAATGAAGGCTACAGAAAGTATGCTTGGGACTGAGGAAGGGGATAGAATATAGCTTGAACACTTCCCCCTATTTTTCTGTAATGAATGGCTGAAAGGTCAGGGAAAGGGTCTGGGATGTTTCTGGACGGGGACACATGCCCCTTGCGGCTACAGCCATGGGCATTTTGTAGCTACTCTGTAGGTTAGGGTTGCCAGTCTCCAGTGGCACCTGGACATCTTGTGGAATTACAGTTGAACTCCAGAATACAGAGATCAGTTCCCCGAGAGAAAATGGCAAGTTTGGAGGGTGGACTCTATGGCATCCTACCTGGCTGAGGTGTCTCCCCCCAGACCCCACCCTCCCCAGGCCCCACCCCCAAATAGCCAGGTATTTCTCAACCTGGAGTTGGCAACCTTGGATTAGCACAAGGTGTATCTATACCCTGCCAACAAAAGTTCGTATGGTCAGAGCAATGGTATTCCCAGTAGTAATATATGGCTGCAAGAGTTGGACTATAAGGAAGGCCAAGTGCCGAAGAATACATTCTTTTGAATTATGGTGCTGGAGAAGACTCTTGAGAGTTCCTTGGACTGCAAGGAGATCAGATCAGCCAATCCTAAAAGAAATCAACCCTGACTGTTCCCTGGAAGGCCAGATACTGAAGCTGAAGCTCAAATACTTTGGCCACCAAATGAGAAGGGAGCACTCACTGGAGAAGACCCTGATGCTGGGAAAGATTGAAGGTCAAAGAACAAGGGGACGTCAAAAGATGAGATGGTTAGACAGTGCTATCGATGCAACGGACATGAAATTGAGCAAACTCCGGAGCACAACGGAAGACAGGAGGGCCTGGTGTGATGTGGTCCATGAGTTCACGAAGAGTCGGACTCGACTGTGCGACTGAACAACAGCAACAACCACAATGCTGTACTCAGTCAAACTGACTTTTGCAACAGCTGGACTCTTTTAAATAAATCACACCTCATCGTATCGTTTTTTTAAACATCTTAAGAAAAATCCGACTGCATATTGACAAGCCCTCAATGAAAAAGCGGAGATTATAGTCAGCATTTGAAAGAGTTGTCATGTAGAAACCTTGGTTTACTTTCAACTGATTATGATGATCACTGAACAGTTTCTTTGAAAGGGTAACCAAGGGGTGGTAGAATGTAGGCATACATTTCTGTGCTGCGCTCAGCATTCCATCGTTTGAAAGGGGTTTCCTTCTTCTCTTGCTTAATTTAAGAAGTCCTATTTTTCTGCCTACTTGGGGTGTCTCCCGTGTAGGTAGGTCATTGATTGAGCTAGCTGTGAACAGTGGAATTATGACCCTGATGCTTAGGAACAATTGAGGCTTATTATTTCAGAATGGAAATATACATCCCTAATTGTTAAGACACTCCATACTGCACATGAAACGTAAGAGTTCCTAGCTATCTAAGCTAGGATGAAGAGACATAGAGAGCATTGTCCTGCCCACAACTACTGAGTTCCCGGCTAACGTTGACTATTGGACTTTTAGGTGCACGGTCACTATAACTTAATCCGCAACTCCCACACCAGGGTGATTTGTGATTAATCTGTGCGAAAGAACCCCTAGTAGAACATACAGAAAATCCTTCTTTTATGTTGCTCTCTTGGGAATGTTGTTGTGGAACCATAACATTAAAGTGCAAATCCTTTGATAAAACAAATACCTTAGAAGAAGGGGAAAAACGAAACAGTGGGCTATACCAATACAGAGAGTCTATGTGGAGAGGTCAGTGTTGCACTTTAACAAAGGAGACCTCAGATCATATCCCTGTTGCATGTGGCTGGATCCTTGACCAAGACACTGGTGCCTGACCTAAGTCAACAGGTTGCGGTAAGGCTAAAATTAGGGGAGACGACCATCATGGATTTCACCTTGAGCTTCTTCAGAGGGGCAGGTAGGAAATGTGTGAAAGCAAAATAAACATTGCTTTGTGAAGAACGAACATAAATAGAGCATCAAGGGAGAATAGATTCTAGTAAGAACAGCTGAGAAATGGAGTTTTGTCACGTGGCATACATAAGAACATAAGAGAAGCCATGTTGGATCAGGCCAACAGCCCATCCAGTTCAACACTCTGTGTTATATAGCGGCCAAAACTCAGGTGCCATCAGGAGGTCCACCAGCTGGGCCAGAACTCCAGAAACCTTCCCACTGTGACCCCTCCCCCCCAAGCACCAAGAATACGAAGCATCACTGCCCCAGACACAGCGTTCCATCTATACCTTGTGGCTAAGAGCCACTGATGGACCTCTGCTCAAATCAAAAGCAAGAGCAATGACCAGTAGATGTGACAAAAGACAGGCAAATCCACCACCCCCAAAGTTAGAAAAAGCTTATTCCAGGTTGAAGGAGTTTTTCTTCTTCACATCACTCACTAAGCCAAGGACGTATGGCTAGTCTGGTAGAGGCGATAAATTGGGTACTCCCGCTCATGGCAAGGGGTTTCCTGTGGTTGCCTCTCTTGCACGCCTTCAGTTCTGTGACCAGTGATTGTTTGTGACGGGATCAGAACTAACGGGACGGGATCAGAACTAACTGTTCTAGAACCAACCACTGACAATCTCAAGAAAGGGAATCTACATTCCATTCTTTTCCTTGAGAGAACGTAAGAACAGCCCCGTTGGGTCCAACCAAAGGTCCATCTACGTCAGCATTCCACTTGCAGTCATGACTAGCCAGTTGATCTAGAATGTTCCGAGGCAGATATGTTTCACAGCTATCCTGTCTTGTTTGCTTCTGTCATCTGGTTCCAGAGGCACATGGCCTCTGAAGACAAATGTAGAGAAAGTTTCAGCCAGTCAATCCTCAATAAATTTTACCTGATCTTTTCATTTGTTAAAAAACAATAGTCTAAGGTAGTATTTATCGCTACATACATCTAATTAGAAGCGAAATGCAGAGAATCCCTTCCAAAGCTTTTGATACAAAGAGCACATTTCTTTTCAGAAACAAGTAATATCTTTGGAAAATGGAAGGCCGGTGTGAAAAAAAATTGAGGCTTGTGATGTATTTCTTGATCTCTGGTACATGCAGAGGCAACGGTGGGACTCAACAACACACCATGGGAAGCAACCCCTCTCTCAAGTCAATTTCGTCTCTCTTAAAAGCTATTTTAGACACTAACCAAATTCATTCCTGCATAAGCCTTTGTGAGTCAGCGCGCACTTCATTAGATGCTTTGAAGTGTACATTTATACCAGAGCTGCAGAGAATAGAAACCATAGGGCTGGGGAGATGCTACAGAGAGGCCAATTTTGATTAGATATTGCTTTAAACTGGCCTCCCTGTGTAACATACCTTCCCCCACGTCTTGCAGTTATCTGCAGCTTTCACTATAAATGCTTCTGCCTCACAGAGGAAGACTTTGTGCATCTGATGAATCGAGCTCCAACTGATGAAAGCATAGGCTGGGATACATTTTATTAGTCTATTTTGGGGTTGGGGTTTTTTTTGCATTTTGTGTGTGGAAATCATGGTGACTTCTGGTGAGTCCAACTGGGGCATGGAGAACGTTCAGAGAAGTGGCTTGATAGCCTGCCCCTGGCCTCCCAACCCTGGTATTCCCTGGAGGTCTCCCATCCAAATACTTGGCAGGGTCAGCCCTGCTTAGCTTCCAAGATCAGATGAGATCGGGCTTGCCTGGGCTATCCAGGTCAGGGCACATTTTGTTAATCTTGAAGGTGCCACTCCTGTTTAATTCGGCTCCCATTAAGTCATTTGTCTCCTCCGTGTTCCTCCACGATCCTTCAGTGATTTCATTCCCAAACAGGTCACATCTCCCACTGGGATTCAAATGTGCCATGTTTTCTTCGTCATCAACGAACACGTTGCCACTAACTACTGGTACCAGCGCACAAATATTTCCGATCAGGGCACAGTTGGGATATGCATTCTTTTCACCATGAATGATAAAATAATAAACCTTACACACTCATGTTTGTTACTTTGGAAATGAAAACGAATGGGAATCAAAATGAATGGACTCATTTTGTTTTTATTGGTTTCAAGGGGAAAGTTTGCAGCCATAATGCCTATTCTCTGTGCCATTTTGATTACATATTCAAGGATTATTCACTATTGTTAAAAGTTTCAGAAAAATGGGAGAAAGGGTCCTAATTTTCCTTTATGGTTTTCTCCATACTTGAGACAAAACCTCAGACATCCTTTCCCCCAACCATAATAATAAAATTCAGTGGAAATATTACCATTAAAATTGATGCCTGCAGTGGCGTCAACTGCATGTAAATGGTGTAAAATAAACTGACAAAAATGGAAAATCCGCTCAAGAAAACAAGCAGCATGAAAGTGGACTGACTATGCATGGAAATCAAGAGTAGATCTGTGATCTGCAGACAGGTTTGAAATTATTTATGGGAGGGAAGACTCCATGCAGAACTGGCAGCAGTTTTGTGGACCCTAAATCTAGGAGAGCTTAAATGCCTTGTCTTGACATTCAAGGTGAAGAGGAGCAGAGTGAATACTCACTAGCACTGAGGGGCTCACTTTAACATCTGCCCTAGTGCAGTATGCCTTCCCTACCCAGCAGAGAATAAAATGATAGAACTGGCAGCTGTGAGGCCTCTTAGTGGGTTGGGATCCAGCAAGAACCTCAACCAAGCTGTATGCCAGTATCCACTACTACGCTTTTATGAATCAGTGATTTTCTTTTCCAGCAAGGCTCTTCAGGAAAGGTTTTCACTGAAGGCAAATATTCTTCAGTTCAGCTTCAGATTCCAAGACGAATAAATGTCCCTTTCTTCCGTCAGTTCTGATTGGTGATTATATTGAGCAGAAGTGCCTAAAACATCCTAAGCAAGGCAACTGGGCAGAGTAGAAATGTTGCTACAAAAGAGAATAAATCTGAGACAGTGCAAGAACATATGTGAAAGTTCTTTCTCAGGAGAAAGGATATGATGTAATGAGAAAAATCTCAGATTTCTATGGCAACCCACAGCCTTCCTCAGTCCAAGGTGCTCATTTGCTAGCATTGGGATACTACTAATCCGTATCCAAGGTGGGCATTACGCTGTGTTTTATTTAACTAATTTCAGTTGTCATTGAGAGAGAGACACAGGCACATTTGGTAAAAAAAGTCTCAAAACTTTATTTTAATATGAAACATACAGTGCACGTGACACAAATGTCTCTAAATTTGTGCAAGCTGAACCATGTTTATATTCACACGATCAAGCGTCTCTCTTTATGGCACAAATTTGTTATTGGTCCTCCGGATTTGAGGTTAGATGCTGCTAACAGTGGACAAGGGTTCCTTTATATGTGAGCTACAGTGTTAGCACAAGCACCTTATTTTCCTTGCAAACTGTGGCCATCTCCATGGGAAGACTGCATAAAGATGAAAAGGTTATCAAACAGCTCGTTCCATTACAAGTTTATGGAAACAGAAACTCACGCTCAGCACGATTCACTTGCAAATACCATGGAAGGGGACTCTCCCGCTCCCCCCTCTAGCTGCTTCTTATTTGGCCCCTCCAAATTTTGGACAAGGGAGGGTCAGCAGGTCCTTTAAAATAACAACGCTGGCAATGATTGGGGGTGGTGGTCTGCAATGGGAGGGGTAAATTGGCAGAAATTGCCCCTTCTGACAACAGTAAAGCCCTTCTATCATTGGAAACAAGGGGGAGGATACAAGTCAGTATCTGAATCCCTGCCACAAACAAAACTGTTTATGTAAGCTCACGACAACATAACTAAATATGGAGCAGAATATGTGTGACACTGATTTCAATGGGAACCAGAGCTGGTTTTTCATGAGACCATGAGAGAATGTGGTCTGCCTCTCTTTGACCCGCTTTGGGAATGTAATTAATCCAGTTGAGACTTCAGCAACTTTTCTCATCTGTATGACCATAATTTCAAAAGTAAGGCTGGTAATTCAGGGGAGACAAAAAGGTCAGCGCTCTGGCCACACCCCAGAGTCCTTACTGTGCGTCTTAAGAATCAGGACATAATTTCAAAGGAATTTAAATTTGAAAACCATGATTTTAACAGCAGACAGAGAAAAAAAATCAATAATTATGGGCATCTGCAAATGGGAGGGGACTACGATACAAACTTGGATGAAAACTTGAAATTCCATCTCTGTAAGTTTTAGTTTCTATTGTTTTCAAGCAGTCCAAGATAGCTGTAAATTACTTACTGTTGCGCCAACTTTCAAAGCATTTCCTTAAACTGAACAAAAGTCATAGCCGCAATTCTGGACACATGGAATGCTCTAGAAAACCTCAAAACAGTATACTGATGGCACCCTTCTACATACTGTAGTAGTTTCTCCTCATAGACAACGAGGAAAAGCAGTTAACCAAAATATCTTTGTCCTGTTAGCCATCAGTACCCAGATGCCTCAGAATTTTCCAACATAAAAAGATCATGGAAGATTCTTAAGCCGATCACCTTCTTTCTTGCCACATAGTAAAACTAACAGTGAAGGAATGCAAGACCTGTACTAGGCCCTGCCACAACTGCTGATTATCGCAAGACTTCCCAGGACCAGACTTGAAAAGAGTCCCGGTACCCCAAGAGACTCACTAAAAGATAATTCCACCAAAGTGCAGCTTCCTCCAACAGTGCAGCATTCTTACCCAGAAAACTGCACTTAGTAAAATTTAGCCTTTCTGTGACCCATCAAGTTACACAGCACTTTGGATCTAGACCCGGTAGCCTTTAATGGGTCCTCAGAATAAGAGGCATCTCCATATACTGTTCTGCTAATTTCAAATATATTCAACAGTTCCTCTGCGTGCAGGGCAGCTGCAAGTTATGGCAGATTTTCATTTAAGATAAACAGATACCACGGTTTTATTTGCATTTCTCCAGTTTTCCGGTGCATGATGAATAAGTTTCTATGTAACACCGCTTTTGCTGAAGGAACATATGTTCGGAATTCTGATGGTTCTCTAATTTCAGAAGATGTGGAGCTGATCAACATGGCAAGTAGGGTGAATCAGTTTAAGCCAATTCCTTTTATGTGTTGAGTCTCACTGGATTTCTCAAACTTAAGTGCCAAATTAACAAGACTGTGAAAGAGTGGAGACTTGGGTATCCAATGAGGAGTAATGGCACTTGCCAACAGAGGAGCATATCCTCATCGCAGGCCTCCAATTTAAGTTATAATCGCAAAAGAATCATGAAAAAAATACACATAACTTCGGAAGCAAAAGCACCATTGTAATCTTTTGCCGCTGCTTCAAGTGGGCAACTCGTTTCAGGAACGGGAACTCTTGAGTACACGGGCCTCCCGCCCCTGGATTGCCATCTCCATTCATATCATTGGAGGACACTAATCTGCATTCTGGCTGTTTCCACTGAAGTCAATGGGGACTCCTGTGTTCAGAGGAACTCTATATGTGCAGGGTACACAAAACGTCAGGATGCATCCAGCAGTCCGCCAGTGTGATGCGTTGATGGATCCGGATCTTCCTCTCATTCCCATCCATCCATAAGCTTCCTCTGGCCATGGGAAACTTGATTCAAATAACATTTCCAGGAGTCAGAAAGCACCGTGGGGGCGGGGGGATGAGGAAGAGAGCTAGAATTCTTGCATCTCCATATCAGGGGCCCCCACCCACTGCGTCAATCAACCCTACCCATAGCCAGAAATCCCACTGATCTCAACAAGGTTTATAACTGAGTGAACATCTGTACAGGCTGCAACTCAAATCAGCTACAAGTTCCTCGTTTTAAGCACTTTCTGTATACTGTTAAGCAGAATCCAATTTTAATTACGTTAAAACATTAGATTCCTGTCACGCATAGTCGTTCAAATAAGAGTATCATCTTCAGAATCCTGCTTGGCGCACAGCTCGTAATCTGGATCCACAATTTTGAGCAATAATAACATCAGGGGAAATCTCTCTCATTGCTTGAATAAGAATCTTAACATCTGATGTTCCACAGTGCCTTGCATTCCTGAAGCCGGATTCCGTGAAAATACACAGGAGACTCCATTTATCCCCTGGATCATGGATTGGACCACTGTATATATTTCTTGCATTGTCAGAAGCATCACAGATTTTCAAGTTCTGTTCTACAGCATCGTAATATGGATACACACAACTTGGTAGTCAGCTTTTCATCTTATATGCTTCAATAAATGTGAAGGATAAAGTGCACAAAATAAAAGGGATTGCTGCTGAAAAGTCACCCACCAATTCCATAATATCTACTCTTCACTACTGTGATCTACTGGTTGTTTTGCCTTCAGAACAAGGGGCACAGAATGAGGAACGAATTGGCCTGAAGGTTATATGCAGGCGTCCTGAGATTTCTCCTCCGCAACACCATGTATATTGCTGCTTGTTGTTCGTGCTAACAATTTTGCTGGCAACTTTTCCTTTTGGTAGGATTATGGTATTTTCCTTTTCAGTCTCTACCCAGCTTCCTCTGAAAACTGAAAGCCTTATCATCAGTCTCATTCTTCTCAAATCCATGGCTACAACTGTCAGGGCAAATTTCAATCAACTTCAAGTTTCCAGATTGAGTCGAACGTTTCAGAAAAGTTAGTGAGAACAGGGTTTATGTGGAGCTGATGAAAAAAATAATCAAGGATTTGATTTTGGAAGACAGGTATAAACACTGACGACAATAAGCTATTTGTATATTACCTAAACCACAGTAGGATAGAGGGGAATTGCTTGACTTGGAATTGGCAGAGAACCAAATCAAAATGGCTGTCTCCCACAGAACAGCGGAGGGAGCCTGTATTAAATACTGCACTGCCCTTTCTTCGTTGTAAGGTCTTTGCCGTCTTCATCATCTCAAGTAACAGATGAAGCCTGGAAATCTCTGAATTCTTCCACCTCTGCAGAGACGGCTCGGTCTTTGGCTTCGTGACCAATGTGGCCTGCGCTGACAGCACCCTCTGGATTTTCTTTAGAAACAAGATGACAAAACAGCATTCAATCCCATTGCATATGACTTTGTTGTTAAGAACTATCATTCTCACAATGCATACAATTCAAACTACCAGTTGGAGGAAACAAGGCCTTGTATATGTGACAATAAGAAGGCAAGAGAATAGCAGGTCATGCTTTCCCTCTTTCTCCATCAGTGCATGCACTCAATCTTATACGGGCACTATCCCTGAAAAAAGAAAATCCTTAACAAGTTAAATCTTAAAAAAAACCATTTCTCTTTGCATGAGCACAAGCTTGGAAACAGACAAGCCAACTGGGTATTGATGAATGGGCTCATTAATGGACAAAATTGCAGAGTAGTAGTAGTAATTGGATTTATACCCCCCCCCACTCGGAGTCTCAGAGCAGCTTACAAACTCCTTTCCCTTCCCCTCCCCCACAACAGACACCCTGTGAGGTAGGTGGGGCTGAGAGAGCTCTTTCCAGAACTGTCCTTGAGAGAAGAGCTCTGACAGAACTACGGCTTGCCCAAAGTCATCCAGCAGCTGCAAGTGGAGGAGTGGGGAATCAAACCCAGTTCTCCCAGATTAGAGTCTGCGCATGTAACCACCACACCAAACTGAGGAAAAGTAAACATAAAGTTCAAGTTTATTGAGACACGGTGTCCGTTTATTCTGTACTAGAATAGAAACTAGCCTAATGAGTGGGTAAAAGAGAATATTTTGAGATATATGTGAACAAAAGATTGTTAGACAAAAAATGGATTTACATTGGATAGCTGCAGGTGCCCAATTATGAGTGGTAGACATTACAGATCATAGGAATATGGAAAACTTTGGTTTTTCTATCTTGAACTGAACTTGATATATGATATACAGGACACTCTTTTCATATTCTTTTCATTGGTGTACTGAAAAATGATTATAATAAAATCTTTTTTTTTAAATGATGTCTCCTAAAAATTGTCAGAAAGTTTCCTCCTCATGAATGCTATTTTAGGATATTGAAAACATGGAAAACAAGTTCCTTTTCAGATGGATAAAAAGAAGCATGGGCTATACTAGATTGGCCCCAGGGTTCCATTTGACATTTCTTCTCACACTAACTTCACCACAGTCTCTTTATGTTTAATGTGAGACCCTCTTGGTAAGGCATCCGGCCCACACATCTTTCTGCCCATCTTTACTACTGATCTACATATGACACAGGGATAAGCGTTTCTTTGCTAGCTCATATTTAGCCAGAGTGTGCCAGTCTGAACGTGTAGCCCGGGGAGAAAAGGACCCTATATTAATCTGTATATAGAATGAGATCAATTAAATACACAAATATTTATCTGTGTTCTAAATATTTTTCAATAAAACATGTGCACCCTCCCCATCACTGAAAATATCCCCAGTGAGGCACTGTTCATATGTTAAATTGTCGCAGCACTCTAGATTAGGAGTAACCCAAAATGGAAGGATGTCCATTAGTTTCTTAGGCAGATAATGGGACATTACGAGATGCCGACATTCAGTAAACACAGAGTTGGCTGGCTGCCGAGCACTTCTGAAAGGCACTGAACATCTAGCTGACTCCAGCACAGGTCTCCAAGTAGGGCTAGAACAAGAATTCTCCATTTGGTCTAGAGGTTCATCTCTGATCACCTCAATTTGGCTCAGTTCTTCAGACTCCCTTCCTGAAAACAGGGGCTGTGGCATGGGTATGTGCCCCACACTTTCCATGCCCGTTCGGAATATCAAATTAACAGTGATCCTATCACCATGGAACATACAACTCTGAGAAGACTTAGGAGACTCTAGAGATTTGTACTTACTACTAAGAGCTGGATGGTGGTCTACGGTATGCGTAGGAATGGTGCATACATCTCCTGAAAGGATCTGATGGACTTCTGGCTGTATGGCCTTTGCATCTTCTATACTTCCAGCAGTTATAGGACAGTCCCTTTGATCTGGCAAAGGTTGCTCTCCCGGCTGCAATACAATGGTATTGTTCTGTGTTTGACAGGAACGGTCTTGAAGGGTATGACAGTAACCAATTGTAGACTTGCTGGTCATTAGCCTCCCTGGGGGGTGCTGAAGGCTTGAAGAGCTGGGAGGACAGCAGCTACCCACCGTTATGAGGGCTGCCATTCCATCAGCAGATGTAAGCGTTGGCTGCAGTTGCAACCCCTGGAACACCAAAGCAATATTTTTTCAGTCTACCTGTGCATCCAATCCACATGCTGTCTCTAACGTACCACTGCACCAAGATCAGCTTTTGTATTCAAGTTCTGACTCCTTAACTGGCTTACAGAGAGAATTCCAGACTGTTGCTGTTTTCTAAACGAAGAGGACAACACACTGACTCCTGTGGAGGACTAGGGATGGGCAAATGGTTGAGATTTGGAATTCTAGCTCCTGAGGAGGCTGTCAGAGAGTAAGGGGGAAAAGACCATGTATCATGCAGTAAGTATGCCACTTATCATCTGTTGCAGAAGACAGAGCTGTCTTTCCTCAACTGGTATTACAGCTATCCATGAGTCAAACCATAAATTCTGCTGCTAACTAGTGCGACTGAAATAGCGAGTGTTGTGTGACATTTGGTTGTGCCCGTGTCAAAACAACATTGCAAAACCTTTAAGATTTCCCCAAAATCTTCTATAGAACTGAACACACGCATGCTTTGCCACTCATCCAGGGCCAACATGGTGTCCTGGCTAGAGTGCCTCTCTAGGATCTGGGAAACGCAGGCTCTTAATCCGGCCCTCCCATGAAAGCCTGCCGGGTGACCTGGGTCCAGTCACACAGCCTCACCATGAGAAGAATGAGAAACAGAGGAGAGAATGATGGAAGCTACTTTAGGCCCCCACTGTGGAGAAAGGTGGGTGTAAGAATGAAGCAAACAGATGCAAAAGAAAAACAAACAAGCAACAGCAAATATGAAAGCAAATTTCCCCCAGGTTGTCCTCAGGCTTTCAAATCAGATATCATTAGAGAAAAGCAAGAGGAAGGCCTGTGAGAAATGGCGGGGCACCCTGCAAAAAGCCCTAAACTCTCAGCCCTTGGGAAGGCTGATCGCTCCTTTCCCCATACAACACACATTTTCCTGTTAATTCTGGGGCATATTCAATGGCAGGGGTCATTTCGTAGAAAAAGAGCTAGGGGAACTCATTAGCATAACTCATTAGCATATGCCACACCCCCTGACATCGCCGGAAGTGTGTCATAAGGCCACACCCCCTGACATC